TTGGGACATTTGGACTTGAGGGCAGAGGTCCCAGGCACCATTTGCTATTTTTGCTTTGGGGACAGACTGGGTGGGGGAGAAAACCTTCCCCTTTTTTCCTCTCTCAGAGCAGACCCTGCCTTGCTTCGGGCCCCCATACTGGCCCTTTAGGGCTTCCTGCCTCCCAACCCCAGGGGCCCCGGCTCAAGAGGCAAAGGCTGGAGGGAGAGAGTAAGATCTCCATTGCTGAGGTGAGTGCAGAACCAGTTCTGGGCCTTTTTGCCTGCCATTGTCGGTCCTACCCCTGAGGGCTAGGGCTCTCACTGTTCCCCGGATGGCCCACCTCTCCTCACCAGCCCCCAGTGGTGGTGCACTGCAGTGGTTAAAAGCACAGAGTCGACCTGAGTTCAAATCCCAGTCTTGTCACGTTTAGCTCTCTGACCTTGGGCAAGTATTTTAATCCCATCTATAAAATGAGGCTTGTATCTTCCTCATAGGGTTGTTTGCGAGACAAATTAATCCATGCAAAATGCTTAGGACAGTGCCTGGTACATAAATGTTTAACAAATGTTCTCTCCTCTTACTCCATTTCTGTGCCAGCTCTGGCTGCCAGGATGACACGTCCCCTTCTCTCTGCCGACTTAGGCCTAACCCAGCTCAACCACCCCTTCCTCCAAGAGGTCTCCCAACCGGGATTACCCCTTCTCCTGACCTCTGTTACGCTCCCTCGTGAGACTAGACCCATTAGGAGAGCAAGGACTGTCACGTGAGCAGCGCTAAGTGAATCACCGAACAACGTGTAGGCTCGAGGGCAAATCTGGTGACTGTGACTGTGACCGCCAGCGAGAAATGTATTGTGCGGCATGGTGTACATAGTACATGCGTTTGTGTATGCTTCCACCTCTATCTCCATCTTCATATGACAAAAGCAAAAGTTGCATAGAATGACCTACATCCTCACCATATGTGATCCGTGCTTCTCTTTGCCATTCGCTCATTTGGTTAAATGCTGGCTATGACCTACTCCATTGGTTTGTAAGCCCTACCTTCGGTTGTGACCCACAACATTGTCCATGATAAGCCTGACACAGGGTGGGATTAAGACCTCCAGAGGCCCCAAACCCTGAAAGGATTAGGGCCATGGTCTATTTACAAAGAGGAGGTCAAGTCAAGGGAAGCTGTCGTGGAGGGTGCGTGGAGGCCACGGGAGGCAGAAGCCAGGAGAAGCAGGTCAGGCTCAAGAAGTGAAGGGCTTCAGCTGTCACTCCCTTCGTAGGGGTCTGGATATTTCTTCTGCGCAACTGGGAATCACCAGAATTTTTCCAGTGCAGGAAGACTGTACTCAGGTGTGTGTTTCAGAAAGATCACTGGGGTGGCTGTGGGGGAGGTTGGAGTAGAAGGGCCACGTCAAGGACAAGGGAAAACAGCCTTGGAATCTATTTCAGGTGGCCGGGTGAGAGAGGATGGATAAGGCCACAGTCAAAGAAAAAATGAGGTGAGCAGGGGAGCCCAGAGAAGACAGATGGGAGAAATGGCTGAGGATTTTGCTTGCGTGACTCGGCCCATATGATACTAGTTCCTGAGGTGGGTATGGAGGAGGTTTGCCAGGGAGGAAATATCATTCTCAAGTTTTGATTCATTCAACAAACATTAACGGGACTGACATAGAGAAACCAGCGTTTTAGTTTGCCAAGTTGGAGCGTTAAAGAAAAAAAAAAAAAAAAGAATATCCACTGTGATCATTTCACAAAAGAAAGACTATTTTGCTTTCCCCACCCCACAAATAGGAAGGGCATAGTCTCAGAATAAAGGACAGTCCTTTTTATAAGTGACTAAGTTTGGATTATTGAAAAGCTCTCCTTTTCATGTTTTTCCCATTTTGCTGTGACTAACTGAAAACATCACTGTGTATCAGCCTAATTCGGGGACTGCTACTGAGAACCACATGTCTGGTCAATGGGCAGATGTCAGCAACAGAGACCAAGAGCAATGGTTCCAGAAGTAGGAGAAAACAGGAGAGTAATGGTGGAGACCAAGAGCGGAAGGAAGGTATAAGAAAAGAGGGCTTGGCCACTAGTGTCTTTTGCCATCCAGGATTCAAAGAGATCACTGAATTTGGCAATTAGAAGGGGTTGTTGGTGACCTTTCGTGGTGCCCATTCACTAGGAAGATGGGGCAGGGGCCAAACTGTAGTAAGTTGAGGTACATTTGAGGGTGATGGAAAGAAAAGAGAGAGGCAAGTGGAGAGGGAGAGAAAAAGAGACAGAGATAGGGAGAACATGCTAAGGGAACAAGAGAACACATCTGGGGCCAAGGGGCCTTATTTTCTGGCATAAAAGAGACCACCATTTTATAATCAGAAAAGAAAGAACTAGTACAACGAAACTGGACTTCCCTGAAGAGAAGGGGGAATAATGTCTGGAGGAAGGGCTCAGAGAAGGAGGGTGGATGAGGCCAAGGCCCAGATAAAGGGATTAGCCTTTAACGAGAGGGGCACCTTGTCCCCTGAGAAGGGAGGGCTGGAGGGGAAGGAAGTTGGAGAGGCCAGCCAATTTTGGGGGGGTGGGGCAGGGCACTGAGGTAATTCATGCTTGAAGGCCTCTGTTTTCTCAGGGAAGTAGGAGGAGAGGGGTGGAGCAGGAACATGGTCGGGAGCTGAAGGAAGTTTGGAATGGGCCCAGGGAAATGTGGAGGCTGGAGTTGGGGCTTGACTGGGAACTCACTCGAGGGTGGCTGAGGGGGACAGGGCCCCAGTTGAGGTTGTCTAAGTCTGTCTGGCTTTGTCCCTCCCTAGGCTATAAGCACCTGGAGGCAGTGTCCTCAGCACTTTCCTCTTTCTAGTCCCTTCCTTTTCCAGGCAATGCCCAGTGCCATGTAGCCCAGAGGAGGCGCCCAGTCCTCTCAGAAGGGCCTGGCAAAGGAATCACTGACAAAGCCCAGAGATACCACAGGGCTGTCAGGGGAAACACAGGTAGGCTCATAATCACCCTGCCAAGATGTGACACATTTTGGTTGTTCCACACCTTTCCTTACTACTCTGTTGGCCATCCTGCTCCTTCCTGTTCTGTGCTGACTGCAAGGGAAAATAGTCAGGCTCCCACTTTTGTCCAGTGATGCTTGCAGGCCTTAAATCCTTCAGGCTGGAGAGAGTCCACCGAGATGGGCCAGGGGCTTCATCTCCCATACACTGAATGAGGTGGTGACAATTCTCAGGAGGAGCAGTCGTGTGGGGAGACCAAAGAGCCATTGTAGACAGGCCTAAAGGCCACCTGGGCTCCAGAAGAGCATGCTGGGAGGGGAAACCTGAGGGCTGCTCAGAGGAGTGAGGGGGATGGACAGCCCCAGAAGGACTATGACTGAATGAACACAGGTTCAAGGTTGGAGGCGGTGGGATGGGTGGCACGGCTGAGTTGGCTTGGGCTCAGGAGTCATGTCTCCCTCTTCTCCCTAGCCTTCTTCTGTCCTGCCTGTTTGCGGAGGCCATGGTCAGCTAGAGGTCAAGAAACTCCCAGGGAGTGCCAGTAGGTCTGCTTCTTCTTTGCAGGTCCCAGTCCTTCCAGAATTTTCTTCCACCTGGATCCTCCCCCTCAGCCTCACACCTCATTGGAACCTGCGAAGCCAAGCCATACAAGCAAATTCTCATCCTCTGGAGGTCAACTGGGCAAGAACCCCCAGAGACTGATAGAAACTCGGACTTCCCCAGCAGCCCTCCTTTTCCCCTCTCCGGGACACAGGCTCCAGCCTGGGCATCCACAAAGCAGGGCCAGAGAGCTTACCTCGGTCTGAGGCAGCACATGCCACTGCCCTCCTTTCAACACATATAATAAACCTCTGTTTATCGAGGGCTGGGGCCGTGCCAGGCCCCTGGGTTAGGTGGTGGCTGGGCTGTTAGAAAATTTTCCTTGGATGGAGCCAAAATGCGTCTCCTTGTGGATTCCGCCCTGGGCCTCGGCCTCGCTCCCACGGAATAAGTGTCCTTTCCCCCCGAGAGGGTTCTCTGCTCCCTGATAAGCATTTCCTTCTTTCTTAATTTTCCCGTGTCTTTATTTTCTCTTGCTCAAAGGACAGCAGGATCCTGTGGAACTTTGGAGGACGTTCAGAAAACCGCGAAGCAGGAAGTAAAAATCTCCCACAGTCTTATTCCCAGAACTGACCGCAGTCACCTTCTTCCTTCTTCCAAGCAGTCTCCCCCTCCGCCCCCCAACACGGCATCCTGGATAAACCCTACTTGTTTTCTTTCCCCAAGCCAATTTGAATGTGAAATTGTCTCACTGTTCAAGGAGTTGTTGAGCCAGCTTTCTAAAGTGAGGCATTTGTTGATATTGTTTCCAATTTTCCTTTGCTACAGAGCACCCGGTGGGGCTGGAATTTCAAGTGGGGGGGGAGGGGGTGGGTGAAGAGAGAAAAGAGGAGCCCTTGAATCGAATTGCTCAGACGATTTTAGGATCTGATGTTCTTTCCCATTTTCTGTGTTGATGATTATCCTTCTAGAGCCTGATTGTGAGGGCCTGCTTAGTATTCACTGGCAAAGACTTACCCTAATGAATGTAGCTGGTTTCCTATTATTGGACATTGAGGTTGTTTCAAATTTTGGACAATCAGAAACCCGACCTGGAAGCTAAATCCATGCTGGTCCTGGATGCTGAGCTCCGGAGAAATATTCCGGGACTTTAAAGCACAAGGAGGCCACCAGCAGTTGTAACTGGAAGCTTTTTGGCAAAGGCCCAGAAGACTGGCTAAGGCCAAAGACGGTGCTGCAGCCGCTTGGCTTGCTTGCCCCGCCCCCGGGGTCAGTACCCCTTTACCCTGCAACCCCGTCACAGAGTGTTCAGGCTGGCAGGGCCCCTTGAGGCCACTGGACCTGCACCCTGCACCCTTGTCTCACATGTGAGGGGAACGAAAGCCCCTGGGCTGGGGATGGTTCTGAGGCAGTTTAGCGGCCAGAAAGAACCCTGCCTCCCGCCATCCCCCTCACAACACTCCCCCCAGCATCCTGGCTTCTGGACTGGGAGTCGAGCTCTGAGACTTGGAATCTGACCTCCAAGCCCTGAAATGCTGCCTGCACTCCTTTACTAGACCACGTACTGCTGAGGCCGCGAGAGGAGATTTGGGCACTTTTGCAAAGGAACCAACACAGAAAACAAAGGGCATGGAAGGAAGGCTCCAGGGTGACCCCACGGGCAGCTGGATCTGCTCCACCCACAACCTCCTATTTTCCTGACCCTGGTGGCATGCTTAATGGCAGTCACCCTCTGTCGGGTCCACTGGGCACATCTCTTGTGGGTTTTGAGCCGAAATAACGTGTGAGTCCGTGGCTTGCCTTAGCTGGGTCAGCTGTCCCTTTTTGCTGGGAACTGGCTTTGCCAAAGGCCTGTCTCACCAGCCCTCTGTGCCTGACAGCTTTCTGTGGTTTGGGGTGCTAATGAGCTTCCCTCCTTTCCCCCCTCCAGCCTTGTTACTGCCTGGGGAATTTGCACAAATGGTGTGTGATTTGCCCCTTCTGTGTTTTCTTTTCTGACTTGGAGGTAAAGAAAACCCCTCACCCCCCACAGACACTCTGTTTATTCAACTGGGAGGGTTTTCACACCCAGAGACCCAGCTCCCCCTCCCTGAGCTCCCTATTCTAAATCTTTATCCCTCCTCCCAGGTCCCCCAGCCCTGCTCTGCCCTGAATAATTTATGAGTCCAGACAGGCCTTATAAAAGGGTCTCCCAGGAAAGGCCAAAAGAATGCAGGAGGTTCTGAGAAATGAGAGCCCCTACGGCCTGCCTGGCCTCGACCGCCTAAGGATGGACCCTTCTGTTCCCGCTGCTGCTGCCCCTGTCCCAGCCCCAGTCCTAGTTCCAGCCCCTGTGCAGCACCCCCAGGCACTCCCTGGCCTATTAAGTCCATCGGCCCTTGTTTCCTCTGGACAGCAAGTAGGTGGCAGAGAAAGGTAAGTGGAACTTGGCCTCTGGCAACCCAAACTCTGGCTTAGTGGGGTTCAGGAAGTCCTGGGACAATGAAATGGATGAATGGCCAGGGTGCCCCTGCTCCCTGTGGAGGGGTAGGGCAAGACCTCACAGCCCCCAGAGACTGCCCCTTCCACATCTCAGGCTAGAGTGCCTCAACTGGTTTCTCACTTATCCTCACTCATCCCTCTGGGTGGCAGGAGGGAACTTGGGGACGGAGGCTTTGCCAAAGCTAAAAGCTGAGCAGCCAGGGCCTCATGGGCCAAGGGGCTCAGTCCATTGAGGAGCACAGGGGAGACGTCCACACTGCGTGCATGTCTTCCATATGACCTAGGCTGAAGAGTGGGTAAAAGAGGGCCAAAGTCCCAAGAAGCCTTTGACTGGTGGTGGGGGTTGGGGGGCGGCTGTCTTTTTCCTGACCAGGCCTTAAGATTTCCATTTGCTTCTTTTCCGGACCTCTGGAAGTCTAGTGGGGAAGCAGTGGGCCCAGGAATAGTTCAGGCCACTTTCCCCAGTGCAGGAAGATGACAGGACTCTCAGTTCTGCTTGTTGGAGTAGGAGATCGGGGGCCAGATATTTTCCATGCAACCCTAATTTATTCCTCCAAACATGTAACAGTCAAGAAACACTGAGTGAAATGCCTACTGTGTACCAGGCATTGTTGGGCGTTGGGGATTCAGACGCAATCACACCTATGTCTGCCCCCAAGAAGCTCAACAGCGAGTAAACAGATAATTACAAAACAGCCTGACAAGAGCAATGATCACATTATTGAAGCAGGCGGTAGGGGCCCTGACCTGGGCTCAGGAGCCTCACGACAGGCTTCCTGGAGCCCCAGCATCGGAGTCAAGTGCTTCGGAGGTTCCCATCTCCTTCCTCCACGGACTGATCTTGCCTCTCTGTCCTAGAGGAGCTTGTCTCTGGAGGCCCTGGCTGTCCTCTACAAGTGACCCGTCGAGCCAGGTTTGGAGACTGGTAGATTTGGTGAGTCTGAGCCCCTGTGGCCCACGGTCACATGCACAGGCAGCCATGTGCGTTCACAGTGGTCAGGCAGGTCCCCTTCCAGAGCGCCCCTGCCTTTGGGCCGGGGCTGCAGATGGGGGAATGCCTCTCCACGGCCTCCCTCACATTTGATTTCACGATGACTGAGGGAGGAGTGCCTCTCTGGGGTTTCAAAGGGAAGGATGAAGAGATGAGTGCCCAGGAGCGGGGAGGGATTTGGGCAGACCCCACAGCTAACCTGTGGGAGAGCTGGTGCTAGAATCCTGGTCTCCTGGCATGCAGCCTCACCCTGCAAGCCCCTTCCCCTGAATCTTTGTGGCTCAGTAGAACTCTGTCTCCTGGGCCAATCTCCAAACAGGTGTTAGAACAGGGGCAGGAAAGCAAACAACCCCCAGGACTCTGTGGATTTGTTTTACAACCAGAAGGACAGAGCCCCTTGTGGGGGTTGGGGCACAGGGGCTGCCCCCAGGGATGTCTAAGGTTTCTAGATCATCTTAGGGAGGGTTGTGAGCCCTGGTACAGAGGAGGCAGCTGTGTGGCCATGGGCTTTGAGTCACATGCTAGCTCTTGCTTTGGACAGGCTACTGGTGGTCCAACAGGTGCAGAAGTCACGAAGGCTGACTCCGAGTTCCATCATCCTGTCAGGTAAGCCTATGGCGCTCAGCTTGGAACCTGATGTAGATCTGTCAGCTCTTCTAATCCTCAGAGCAGCCCTGTGGAACAGGAGGAGGCAGGCAGTGCCCGGATCCCTCTTTCTTAGACCAGGAAACTGAAGCCCAGGGTGGTTCAGAGAGTTGACCAAGGTTGGTTTCCTTGGAGGATCTGTCGGTGACCCCTAAGAATGAGCCCTGATGGGTGGCGTCAGCGAAAGAAGTCTTAGTGAGATGTGGAGGATGCAGGGCTAGAGAATTCTTGGCTAGAAGACTTCTGAAGTCATGGGTGGGGGGAGGGTGGGATCAATGTCGGAGTTGACAGATGCCGGGGCAGGGGCTCCCCACAGCTCTAGGCCCACCAGATATGACCTTCCTGCCTGGGGCCATTTTGAAAGTTCTGTTACAATCATTCTTTTCACTTTCGCCTCACTACTGTGGGCAGGAGAAGGAGTTTAGGGGTTGACTTCCATCTAGCCTTCCTTGCCTCTCTGCACGTATGAGACCTAACTAAGTCAGGGGCCATATTTCTTCTCTGTCCACAGGCTCTTCTGGCCTAAATCCCGCTCCTTTGACTACCTGTACCGTGATGGGGAGATTTTACTGCAGAACTTCCCTGTCCAGGCAACCATCAACCTATATGAGGACTCAGACAGCGAAGAGGAGGAGGAAGAAGAAGAAAAGGACAAGGAAGAGGAGACCGAGGAAAGGGGGCCAGAAGAGTGTGTGAGGGTACCAAGGTCAGCACCACACACGGCCACAGTTCATCTTCCTTCCCCTCTCCTGACATGCCCAAACTGAACTGGTCAGAGTCTGATTGGGGTTCAGTATGACTGGCAAGGCTCTAGAACATCAGTGAGGCAGGAATCTCCAGATATAGCTTTCTGGATTATAAATTGGGCCCTGGAGCGCCCAGCTCACCGTGGCTGTATTCAATTGGCCTGTGAGCCCAGGCCTCTGGGATCTCATTGTCTGTGTTGCTGTGGTGTTGACAATGAGAGGGTCCAAGGAGCTCTAGGGGAAGACCTGCTTTCTGAAGCACCTCGGAAGCAGATCAAGACAGCACCTGCCTATGCAGAGAGAACCAGTTACTCTTTAGGGGGTCTTTGACTCCCCAGCATTCCAGCTGGCCCCAGAGTCCTGCCTCCCTTCAGAAAGCCTGACTTCTGGCTTCCCCTGCAGAGACACCAATATCAGATCCAAGCAAAGTGGGGGCACCTCTTTGAGGCGCCTTGCAGGACAGGAAAGGGGCATCTAGGAAATCAGCTTGCTTTGGAGAACCTCCATATATTTTGCATGCTATCCACTGAGGTCTGTATGTTGGTGTGAAATAAATCATAAATAAACTAGATGATGTGTGCCCTTTTCCTGGAACTGTGCAGATTTCTTAACTGAACTCTGCCCATGTTGTGAAGCCACAGGGAGAGGGTCAGAGAACAGCTCAAGGCCGATTCATTGCCCTACCTGAGGTCAGTTGACAGATTCTACTCCATGGGGATATAGGGCCGGGACTGACCCAGCATGGGGCCAGGCTTTCTCTGTCAACTTGTGAAATCAGTCAGGCTCGATTAAACTTCAACAGCAGCTTAGGAAAGGAGCAAAAAGGCCTCCAAAACGCAGGGAGTAGGGGTCGGGGGGCGGGGGAGGGAGTGAGACGTGTAGCCTCTGCTGAGCTTTGGAGATGAGGGTATGCATGCAAGGAGGGAGTTCAAGGGGGTCGGTTACTAAATCCTGTCAACTTTATCTCCTCGATTCCCTTTGTACCTTCCACAGCTCAGGTCCTCATGCCTATCCTACCCCGATTACCCCAACTCATGTTCTTGCCTTCCTACGCAATGTGCCCTCCCCACTCACTGGTCCCGAGATCAGACCATAGCGTGCCCCGCTGAAAGCCCTACCATGCTCTTCATTGCCTCACCAACAGTTGGGACTTACCGTTCTTTTTTTCTTTTGATCACAGATCCCCTTGAGAATCTATGGCTTCTCTATTCATATATTCACAAACGAAGCCTTTAATTTGATATTCTAAGCTATTTGACCGCCTAGTTCTTGCCAGTCTCTTCAGACTCGTCTCTTGACAGTTGAAGCCTGTGGCGCCCATCCTTGAATGTGTCATGCCTTTGAACACCTTGGTGGCTTTAACCCTCTTTCTGGAATGCCTCACCACTTTTGTATGTCTGGTGAGCTCCCCTTCAGCCAATAGGACTAGTTCAGACACAGACACCGTTCCTGTGAGAAGCCTCCCCAGAACTTCAAGTCCAGGTGGGGTCCCCCCATATATTCAGGACCTCCTCTACCATAGCATCTGCCTCTGTCCCCCTGTGGCTGTGTCTGATATCCCCATGTGACTTTATCACACAGCACACTGCCTTGTATAAGGGACATGCCCAGGAAATGTTGAAGGAAAAAATTCTCAGGTCTTCTTAAGGAACTGCCTCTGTCTCTCCACTTGCTGGTCTCCCGGATCTTTGCTTAGCTACAAACAGGACCGGGTGACATCATTTGATTCAGGCCTTCAACTTGAGAGTGGACTGCTTCAACTTGAGAGTGGACTGCTTCAGTTCTGAGCCCTCTCTGGGAGGTGCCTGAATTTGGACAACCTGAGCAGACTACGGAACACACACACACACACACACACACACACACACACACACACACTGGTCACACTGGTGCCACCTATTGGTCAAAGTTTAACCTCATTCCTTAATTGAGGCTGCCAGACAGTTGAACTTTGACCACTGGATTCCTGTAGTCCATTCTGTTTTGGCTTGTAAGTAAAGCGGACTCTACCGTCTGCCTGCCGTATGACCTTGGGCAAGTTACTTGTCCAATCAGCCGCAGTCTCCTCATCTGTCATAAGGGGAAACTAATACTTCTTCTCAGGATTGTTGTGAGGGTTCCATGAGCTAATATGTGTAAAGTACTTAGCATAGCCCCTGGCACATAGTAAAAGTGTTCAGTAAATGGTAGTAGTCATCGCAATTGTAGTTTCAGTGGCAGTTATTATTAATTTTATAGGAGACATGGGCTTATCTGTAGAGTCAGCTAATGACTAGTTTACTCAGCTAATGACTGCTTTATCCTGATCCACCTGATTTCTCTGGCACCATTTGGTATAGTAGTCGAAGAATCTTTGCGGTATTTGATTTAAAAAAAAAAACACAACAGAGATCAAATGTGGCTTTCTGGGCCACTCTCTGCAGGTTTCTGGTCCCTTTTTCCTAGGCCAGAGGCTTAAAAACTTCTTTGTTGTGCTTTAGCTGGAACACACTTCTTATTCATCTTCATCTTCATCTTCTTCTTCTTCTTCTTCTAATTCTTCTTCTTCTTCTTTTTTTTTAAAAATTATTTATTTATTTATTTTTTATAAACATATATTTATTTTTTCCCCAGGGGTACAGGTCTGTGAATCTCCAGGTTTACACACTTCACAGCACTCACCATAGCACATACCCTCCCCAATGTCCATAACCCCACCCCCCCTCTCCCAACCCCCCTCCCCCCAGCAACCCTCAGTTTGTTTTGTGAGATTAAGAGTCACTTATGGTTTGTCTCCCTCCCAATCCCAACTTGTTTCATTTACTCTTCTCCTACCCCCTTAACCCCCCATGTTGCATCTCCTCTCCCTCATCCAGATGTCCAACAGACACATGAAAAAGTGCTCCATATCACTCGGCATCAGGGAAATACAAATCTTCTTCTTCTTTTAAAGATTTTATTTATTTACTTATTTGAGAGAGAGAGAGCAGGAGTGGGGTAAAGGGCAGAGGGAGAAGCAGACTCTCCGCTGAGCAGGGAGCCTGATGCAGGGCTTGATCTAGGGCCACTGGGATCATGACCTGAGCTGAAGGCAGACACTTACTGACTGAGCCAACCAGGTGCCCTAGAAACACCCTTCTTTTGAACTGAGTACAGCAAACCAATATACAAACCAAATGAAGATGGAGTTGCCCTGGTCGAAGGCACAACGGCTGATGCAGAATTCCCATCCTGCTGTCCTCTCTCCTGTAAAAACTAACTCTCCACTCCTTTGTGAGACATGCACGGGGATCCCTAGATTGTTGGGAAGACAGTTTGGAAATCACTGTCGCAAGGGTTAAAACATGACTGATTTGAAGTCGAAGGGGGATTGGTATTTCAACATGTCCAGTGTTCCGTTTAAAATCCTTGTTTTGGGTCCTAAGCTCCCAGCATTTCATAGCTCAAAAACTGCTCGAGTCCTTGTACCATAGGTTGTAGGCATTTAAAATCCTTGGAATCCCAATATCCTTGGTTTTAGAGTATTATATAGCATAGAATTACAAATCCCTAAATCCCCACGGGCTTAAAGACCCTAAAACCCTCGTAGCAGTAATTCTTAACTCAGAATGATCTCCTCTCACTTTCCCTCTGCTCCTCCTCCTCAGTGTGCAAGCACTGTTGGTCAGTGGCAGACATTTTGTCCCCCTTTCCTCCCAGTCCCCTGCCCTGAAATGGCTTCCAATCCTCCTCCCCACACGTGGTTGCTAAGTGATTGGAATTCACTGTTATGAGTAACCAGAACCCAGTGTGAGTTACTTTGTTATCGGTGTATCCGGTCCTTGCAGCAACTTCAGATCCAGTGCAAAACTCAAGAGTCTTTCCTCCAGCTCCACGACAGCTGGCCCATCCTTGTGCCCCACACTTCCTCATCCCAGCACTAATGCTTCTGGCTTTCCCCACCCAAGAGCAATGTAGAGAGGGTACATCAGCTGAGTGGGAGGCTGCATCTGAGCCGGGCTTTGAAGGATGGGCTCAGGGGAAGATGGAGAGAGAACCCTTTCCAGAAAGAGGCAGCACTATAAATTCCTCCATTACACAAATACTCATTGAGCACCTACTCTGTGCCAGGCATTAATACTGTAATGATCAAGAGCATGGGCTTTTGACGCAGATGTACCTGTGTTCGGGTACGCAGGCTGGCTCTACCCATAGGCCCACTCCACTCACGTGTCAACAAGCCCTCAGCTCTCTGCTTATTCTCCTCTGTCTCTAGGCAAGGAGAGCCCTCTTCCCTGCCCCAGTGGGTATCACCATCAGTCATCTCTCCCCTCTCCCCCTAACTGAGCCTGTGTGTCCGTCTAGTGGGCACTTTGTCTCCTTTCTGCTTCAGGCCCCTGTTGTAAAATGGTTGTCCATCCTACTCCCTAACAAGGCAGTCTGGTGGCCCGAGTTCCCTGTTTGGATCTGTCAGGAGCCTGGTGTCGGGTACTATGTTTTTGGCTTACTCCCAGGTGAGAAGGCTTTTTGCAACCCCCAGGCAAAGCACAGAAATCCAGGTATAAAAACCTGATGAAGAGTGAGTACTCTGGGGCGCCTGGGTGGCTCAGTGGGTTAAGCCGCTGCCTTCGGCTCAGGTCATGATCTCAGGGTCCTGGGATCGAGTCCCACATCAGGCTCTCTGCTCAGCAGGGAGCCTGCTTCCCTCTCTCTCTGCCTGCTTCTCTGTCTACTTGTGATCTCTCTCTGTCAAATAAATAAATAAAATATTAAAAAAAAAAAGAGTGAGTACTCAGTAAGCGGTAGCCACAACACTCTTTGCCTCGTACTTGCTATTCACGTAACACCCATGAGTGCCTAAGAGACAGGCACGATTACTATGCCCATTTATGAACGAGTAAACTAAGAGTTAGCAAGGTCTTTGTATGTGGGTTTGTGTGCTTACACGGAGGTTGAGCCTTGCCATCTGGTAAACCCGAAATACAGGAGATGACACGAGGTCCCTGATAGGTCAGAATAGGGAACTCAGGCCACCCTTTGACACCAGGGTGCTAGGGAGGAAAGGAGACATACTGTTCATTAGATAGCCATGTGTGCATGGTTGGGGGGTCAGTGGGCTGGAGCTAGTAACACTGAGGTGGAAGAAGGAGCTTTCCCTATCCAGAGGGAACAGGCAACAGGGTGGCTAGGAGGATAACAGTTACAATAGCAGATAATCATTGATTTATTTTATTTTTTACAAGATTTTATTTATTTATTTATTTGACACAGAGTGGGGGAGAGAGAGAACACAAGCAGGTGGAATGGCAGGCAGAGGGTGAGGGAGAAGCAGGCTCCCCTCTGAGGAAGGAGCCCCATGAGGGACTCAGTCCCAGAACCCTAGGATCATGACCTGAGCTGAAGGCAGACAATTAACTGAGCCACCTAGGCGCCCTGCAGATAATCATTGAATTCTTCTTATGGACCGGGTGCACGGTTAGGAAAGTGACAGGGATAAATTCTTTTAATATAACAACCCTGAGGGAAAGGTACTGTTAGGAAAACTGAGGCTTAGAGTGATTTTTTTTAAATTGCTCCAAATCACACAGCTGGTAATCCAT